ACAAGAGATTAGTGCATAAGCTGGAGGACCAGGCAGGTATAACAGGGAAAGCACTGCAGTGGATCAGGAAATATCTGTCGGGAAGACATCAGCGTGTGATGGTACGTGACGAGGTGTCAGAGTGAGCGCCTATGACGAGCGGGGTTCCAAATGGATCAGTCCTAGGACCGGTGCTGTTTCTGGTATATGTGAACGACATGACGGAAGGGACAGACTCAGAAGTGTCCTTGTTTGCAGATGATGTGAAGTTGATGGGAAGACTTCAATCGGACGAGTACCAGGCAGAACTACAAAGGGATCTGGACAGGCTGCAAGCCTGGTCCAGAAACTGGCTCCTGGAGTTCAACCCCACCAAGTGCAAAGTCATGAAGATTGGGGAAGGGCAAGAAAACCGCAGACATAGTACAGTCTAGGGAGTCAGAGACTACAAACCTCACTCAAGGAAAAGGATCGTGGGGTGAGTATAACACCAAGCACATCTCCTGAGGTGCACATCAATCAAATAACTGCTGTAGCATATGGGCGCCTAGCAAACCTAAGGCTAACATTCCGGCATCTCAATAAGGAATCGTTCAGGACCCTGTACACCGTGTATGTCAGGCCTATATTGGAGTATGCAGCACCAGTTTGAAACCCACACCTAGCCAAGCACATAAGGAAATTAGAGAAAGTGCAAAAGTTTGCAACAAGACTAGTCCCTGAGCTAATGGGCATGTCCTACGACGAGAGGTTAAGGGCAAATCGACCTGGCAACACTGGAGGACAGGAGAGACAGGGAATATGTGATAACAACATAAAATTCTGAGAGGAACTGACAAGGTGGACAGAGACAGGATGTTCCAGAGATAGGACACAGCAAACAAGAGGCCACAATTGGAAGTTGAAGACACAGATGATTCACAAGGATGTTAGGAAGTATTTCTTAGTCACAGAGTTGTCAAGAAGTTCAATAGTCTGGAAAGTGATGTAGTAGAGGCAGGATCTATACATAGCTATAAGAAGAGGTATGATACAGCTCATGGAGCACGAAGAGGGACCTAGTAGTGGCCAGTGAAGAGGCGGGGCCAGGAGCTGTAAGTCGACCCTTGCAGCCACAGATAGTTGAGTACACACACAAATGGCAACAAAATATATTATTATAAAAGCTGACTTTATTGTGGAGGGAATGAAAGTAAAGAACATTAAAAGAAAATACTTTCGTGAGATAATATTGCCAGCGGGACAATATTATCTCCTAATGTAATATAATGTAAAGAATTTATTATAAAAAATATGGCAGAAAAAATAAGAGCCTACCGAGAATAAAAAAAAAAAAACTTCGCAAAATAAGCAATAAGGAAAGAGACAAGGGAGTCGAAGTCATTTAAAAAATGATTTAACCTTCAAAAGTGTCACGTGATATTAAGGAAAGTACTACGAACACAGGTATTGTTTAAATACCTGCTGTACTTGGCAGTAAAGGTAGAATACCAGTGAGGGAGCAATCAGTAAAGCAAGGAAGACTGTTTTTTTTTTTTTAAGAATAAAGCAATCACCAGATGTTTACTTTAGAACACCAGAATATTCCTCATCACTGACGTTACTTACAGTTATACACAGCATTTATAACAAGCTTGACACATACCTTTAACGAGAGAGAGAGAAAGAGAAGAAGAGAGAGAGAGAGAGAGGGAGAGAGAGAGGAGAGAGGGGAGAAGGAGAGGAGAGAGAGAGAGAGAGAGAGAGAGAGAGGAGAGAGGAGAGAGAGAGAGAGAGAGAGAGAGAGAGAGAGAGAGAGAGAGAGAGAGAGGTGTATAAGATGCAGCTTATACACCATTACAGATGACAGAAGCTACTGAAAATAGGTGAAGAACTGACCTCCAATGCTGACTCTAGTTACAAGGTAAGCCAACCTGGAGCTCATCCCATCACTCAGATTGGTTAACTTGTTCGTGGTGGCTGTATGCAAACAGGGACCTTAAACTCCCATAGGATACAAACTGATATACTTTAAGCTGATTATTAATAGTATGCGGGATGTGTGCTTGTGTGTGATACACACTGAATAAAATTGACGCATTCAATGTATGGCTCGAAAAGACAAGCAAAACAGGTTTATACTGGGGCAACGTTTCGCTCTGAATAGTACTTTATCAAGTTATTTATGATCTTAGTAACAAATCGTTTAAAGACATTGACCTTCTAAACCTAGGATATACATTACTAGTGAAAGCCTTACTTGTATTTACGTGGAGTTAGTTGGGCCACGGTAAGTAGCAGGTGGTGACGCACAAGGTTGGAAAGTGCACTGCGCTACGACTTTCTCCTAGGTCAACAAAACTTCCTGTTGTTCCAGAGGTGAACTCCGGGCCAAGCGAGGTCAGGTCAACAACCCTTTGCTTACCTTCTCTAAACGCTGACATTACATCAGAAAAGTCGCTCCAACTCCTAACTAGTCCATTGCCTAACAAAAATGCATGGAAGATCAGATCAACATGTATTCTCAGAGTAACGATGACTGGAGACCTGTAAAACGCTTCTGGGTAATCGCTAGGGCGGCGCCGCAAACAAATAACATATCAGGTGTTAAGGTGTTTGACATGCTGACTTGTGCCTCGCCTGGCGTGTGATAAGCTCAGACAAACACAGCAGCTCACTCAGCTGGAAGAAACATCTCTTGATACCAGGATGCTCAACCCGGTCTGCTAGTATTTGTCATCCAAACTATTTAAGTCATTCTTATTCTTCTTCCATTTCTTTCTTCTTTGCCATCTTGTCCTCTCCCTTCTCTTCTTTCTCTCCCTCCCTGCTTCTCAGCCTCCACTTCTCCCTCCTTCTTCTCTTCCTTGTCCTCCTCCTGCTCTCATACGACAGGAAACAGCGTTCCTTGTATATTACATCAGCTCTTTTTTTTTTTAAAAGAAACCACACACAATGAATTTAAACTTAATTTTAAAATAGAAAAAGAATTGATACGTTCATGACATAAAGATCAAGAATGATCTTTAGCGGCATTCTTACTCCTCGAAAAGACTATAATAAATAATAAAAAAATACAAAGGCAAGCAAACAAGGGAGCCGTGTGTAGGAACGAGGGTGTTTGCATACTGACAGATACGACCACACAAACATGGAGTCGCGCATTTGGAGAAGGAATTTGTTCGACTTGTTTTGAAATCTCTCACATTGTATTACTTTGTCTGGTCAACTGTATTCAATATTTACCCCTCTATTATAGGAGAGAAATTACATCTCTACTGAAACAAATCTTTGCTTCTGATGTTATATCTGTTTCATTTATGCGTCTCCGATTGAATAATAAAAAAATATTCTTTATTTTTTAAATAAAGAATATCAAGTCTTTTTAACCATTGTAAATGCTTGTATTGGGTTACCTATGATTCTTCGCCTTGCAAGGCTGAATAAACTGGGCTCTTCCAAACAGGTTTCTTTACGATTTATTCTCATGTTGCTCGAGCTGGAACACTTCAATTTGTTCATGTTCTTCAAATATTTATCTATGATTTACCTTTGACTTATTGCCTGAAGATAGAGACGTGTCTGAAACTCTCTTGGTTTATGGTTGAGCTGCAGGGGTCTGGGGAAGGGGGTCTACATAGTGTTCCGAGGGTCGAAGCCCCCGCGGCCCAGTGGATGGCCTGATGAACCAGGTTGCTGGTGCAAGCAGTACAGAGTCCAACGTATGCACCACAGCCAGGCTGTTCAGTAACTTACTTGAAAAAAAAAATTGTCAAGTTCTGTCTTGAAAACAGCCAGAGTCTGTTGGTAATCCTGCGTATATTATATATATTATATATATATATATAATATATATATAATATAATATATATATATATATATATATTTATATATATATATATATATATATATATATATATATATATATATAATATATATATATATATAAATATATATAATATATATAAATATATATATATATATAATATATAATATATATATATATAATATATAATATATTATATATATTATATATAAATATATGACAATACATGACAAAAATACAATATTGAGTAAAACAACATAGATAACTCAGATCTACATCTCGAATACTTCGTCCAGCTCCCCGGCAGTGGGCCACATGCCCAGAATGCTGTAGGCATTTCCTCTCTGGATTGCGACACTGAGTCTCTGAAAAGGAAGCTGGTCGCCCTATGGTCCTTGGTTTCTATGATGTTTTTTCACCCAGCTCTTTGAGGAATTTTAGAGCACACTTGCCCCATGCTTCAAGGGTCTCCGACCCTATTGGGATGAAGTTATAGCAAGGGGGAAGGTCTTCATATTTGCGGGTCTTCTGGGTTACCCTATGGCTGGCAGCTCCACCCCCTTCAGCTACGGAGTATGGCAAGTAGGTGTCTGTCAATGTGGCGGCACAGGTGTAGTCCCAGGCAATCTGCTTTCCATCCTTCCAAGGTAGCATAGTGGCTCCATCAGGACGCTTTTGACTTCCGTCAGACCTCTGCGCTTGGGGTTCCCGTTGAGCTCGGCAACGGGCTGTGGCGAGGTTTCTCTTTTTGATGTCATTGACCTCCTCTAAATATATTTATATATATATATATATATATATATATATATATATATATATTATATATATATATATATATATATATATATTATATATATATATATATATATATATATATATATATATATATATATATATATATATATACTATTTACTGGGAGTATTTGACACCATCTGAAGAGCTTCTAACTTTCATGGTTGATGATTTACGGTTGCAGCTTTAAAATCCTAAATATGTTAAGAATAAAGAGGCACAATACCGTGACTGGAACATACATTACTTAATGGTCCAAGTCGGACCGAAACGTCGTCATAAGTTTCTTTCTCCTATGTTCGGGTATCCTGAATATGTATCCTTTGAAGCGGGGAGAGAGAGAGAGGGAGAGAGAGAGAGAGAGAAAGAGAGAGAGTTAAATGTAACTGATTTCAATCTTCTATTTCTTGTTTCTTTCGACAGAGACGGCAAAACTTCTGGGGGCGCTGCTCCCCAAGGCGGTTCGACCCATCTGGACAGCGGCTCAGAGTCCCTGGATGAAGTGAAGCCTTCGCTCTCCTCCCTCGACTCACCACTACCCAACGTAAACAGCCACATTGTCCAGGTTAGTGTATAAACATGGCGCACACCTTGCAGCTTGTGTCATCTGTCTTAGTGTAGCAGCTCGTGTTATCTTAGTGTAGCAGCTTGTGTCATCTTAGTGTAACAGCTTGTGTCATCTGTCTTAGGGTAGGAGCTTGTGTCATCTTAGTGTAGCAGCTTGTGTCATCTTAGTGTAGCAGCTTGTGTCATCTGTCTTAGTGTAGCAGCTCGTGTTATCTTAGTGTAGCAGCTTGTGTCATCTGTCTTAGTGTAGCAGCTTGTGTCATCTTAGTGTAACAGCTTGTGTCATCTGTCTTAGGGTAGGAGCTTGTGTCATCTGTCTTAGGGTAGGAGCTTGTGTCATCTTAGTGTAGCAGCTTGTGTCATCTTAGTGTAGCAGCTTGTGTCATCTTAGTGTAGCAGCTTGTGTCATCTTAGTGTAGCAGCTTGTGTCATCTTAGTGTAGTAGCTTGTGTCATCTGTCTTAGTGTAGCAGCTTGTGTCATCTTAGTGTAGCAGCTTGTGTCATCTTAGTGTAGTAGCTTGTGTCATCTGTCTTAGTGTAGCAGTTTGTGTCATCTGTCTTAGTGTAGCAGTTTGTGTCATCTGTCTTAGTGTAGCAGTTTGTGTCATCTGTCTTAGTGTAGTAGCTCGTCTCGTCTGTCTTAGTGTAATAGCTTGTGTCGTCTGTCTTCGTGTAGCAGCTTGTGTCATCTGTCTTAGTGTAGCAGCTTGTGTCATCTGTCTTAGTGTAGCAGCTTGTGTCATCTGTCTTAGTGTAGCAGTTTGTGTCATCTGTCTTAGTGTAGCAGCTTGTGTCATCTGTCTTAGTGTAGTAGCTTGTGGCATCTGTCTTAGTGTAGCAGCTTGTGTCATCTGTTTTAGTGTAGCAGCTTGTGTCATCTGTCTTAGTGTTGCAGCTTGTGTCATCTGTCTTAGTGTAGCAGCTTGTGTCATCTGTCTTAGTGTAGCAGCTTGTGTCATCTGTCTTAGTGTAGCAGCTTGTGTCATCTGTCTTAGTGTAGCAGCTTGTGTCATCTGTCTTAGTGTAGCAGCTTGTGTCATCTGTCTTAGTGTAGCAGCTTGTGTCATCTGTCTTAGTGTTGCAGCTTGTGTCATCTGTCTTAGTGTTGCAGCTTGTGTCATCTGTCTTAGTGTAGCAGCTTGTGTCATCTGTCTTAGTGTAGTAGCTTGTGTCATCTGTCTTAGTGTAGCAGCTTGTGTCATCTGTCTTAGTGTAGCAGCTTGTGTCATCTGTCTTAGTGTAGCGATTTGTGTCATCTGTCTTAGTGTAGCAGCTTGTGTCATCTGTCTTAGTGTAGTAGCTTGTGTCATCTGTCTTAGTGTAGCAGCTTGTGTCATCTGTCTTAGTGTAGCAGCTTGTGTCATCTGTCTTAGTGTAGCAGCTTGTGTCATGTCTTAGTGTAGTAGCTTGTGTCACTGTCTATAGTGTAGATTTAGGAAGCTTGTGTCATCTGTCTTAGTGTAGCAGCTTGTGTCATGTCTTAGTGTAGTAGTTGTGTCATCTACCTTAGTGAATTAGCTTGTATCATCTTCCACATATACCTTTGAAGAGTTTCGAAAGCTTCACTGCTCTCGGAGCCCGGCCATGGGCCAGGCAATACTGTACTTCTGCTTATCATGCAGTCCTCTACTCCTGCTTATCGTGCACTCTTGCTTAAACAGAACCTTACAAGCAAGCGGTGGTTAGCAAATGATAATATTCACGGCACTTTTACTCTCTACACTGGAGCACTGCTCAACACTTTTCAAAGGCAGATTAAATTTACAAGTCTGGAGAATATACAGAGAATTTCCGCTGCCTATCTAAATTAAGCCAGACGCCAGTATTACTGATAACATCCAAACTCTCTCAAATACGTATCCTGGAACACAAACGAGAGACATACAGTTAGTTTTCTACACCTTGAAAATACTGGAGGGATTGGTACCTAGTCTTTTCAAGGAAATTATTTCTTAAGATAAACGAAGTTCAGCAACGGTACTAAGTTCTCCAGACGAGAAGTGGGGAGTAACAAGTATTTCAAGACAAAACTGAATAAATATATAGGTCCGAATACCCCTAACTGTTTCAAAGGGGCAATCAGATATGTTTCTAGAGTCAGTTTCTGATCACTCGGGTTATGGTATCTTCGTTATATTAGCGTGCTGCTGCTGCCAACAGCAGCTTGACTGATCAGGCCATCAAGCAGGAGAACTGGTTAAGGACCAAGTCGCTGGGCCATGACCCCGGAATCAATAAAAGATAACAGGTAGACAACAGTTGTGGAATGCGTCTAATGATGAGGATGATGATAATTTACAAACTACGGCTTTTCATTAGAAGACTTTTTCTACCGCCAGGGACTTCATCAATTAAGTGATAAAATTTCTGGCGGACGAAACGTTCTCTAATAAAATACTACAACCCGCAATGCCATTATCATATTTTTCAACAAACTGATCGTATCCCACCGAGGCAGGGTGACCTAAAAAGAAAAACGAAAGTTTTAAAAAGAAAAACAAAAGTTTTTTTTTTAAACTTAGTAATTTATACATAAGAGGTTACTAGGCATTGAAAGATGACCAAAACGCAGATGTGATTTACACAGATTTTGCAAAGGCGTTTGACAAATGTGATCATGGAGTGATAGCGCACAAAATGAGGTCCATGAGCATTACAGGGAAGGTAGGCATATGGATCTTCGGGCTCCTAACACACAGAACACAAAAAGTAGTAGTAAACAGAGCGAGATCCAGCATCAGTGAGGTCAAAAGCTCAGTGCCCCAAGGCACTGTCCTGACACCTCTGCTGTTTCTCATCCTGATAGCAGACATAGATAAAAACACCCGGCACACTTTTGTATCATCATTTGCAGATGACACTAAAATAAGCATGAAAATCACTACGCTAAAGGACACGGAAAAAGTACAGGAAGACATAAGCAGGGTTTTCCAGTGGGCAGTGGAAAACAACATGACGTTCAATGGTGGCAAGTTCCAGCTGCTTAGGTATGGAAAGAATGATGAACTCAAAAGGAACACTATATACAAAACTCAAGAGGGTCACCAAATAGAGAGTAAGGAACACGTAAAAGACCTGGGAATAATTATGTCAGCGGACCTTTCTTTTAAAGACCATAACAAGACAAAATCACGATAGCCAGGAAGATGAAGGGGTGGGTATTGAGAACTTTCAAAACAAGGGAAATAATACCGATGGTGACACTTTTCAAATCACTAGTGCTCCCTCACTTAGAATATTGCTCTGTGCTGACGGCCCCGTTCAAAGCAGGAGAAATATCGGAGCTGGAACAAATACAGAGATCATTTACGGCTCACATTCAGCCAGTAAAGCACCTAAATTACTGGGAACGCTTCAAGTCTTGAATATGTACTCATTGGAGGAGAGATACATGATAATATATACCTGGAAAGTACTCGAGGGTTTGGTCCCAAATCTGCACACTGCCATAACAGCATACTGGAGTGAGAGATACGGGAGGAAGCGCAAAATAAACCCAGTGAGGAGCAGGGGTGCGGTGGGGACAATAAGGGAACATTGTATCAACATCCGTGGTCCCAGACTACTCAACATCTTACCAGAAGATATCAGAAACACAGCTGGAACAAGTGTAGAAGCCTTCAAGAGAAAACTGGACAAGTATCTTCACCAGGTGCCAGATCAACCAGGCTGTGATGGATACGTGGGGCAGCGAGACACCAACAGTAACAGCCAAGCAACAGACGAGCCTGGCCCATGGCCGGGCTCAGAGTAGACAAACTCTTGAAATTCTTCAAAGGTATATCAAAGGCTCCAGACATTTTAGTCGTCTCTTACAACACGCATGGCTTACGGAGGAAGAATTCTGTTCCACTTCCCCAGGAGATGAGAGGAAATAAGCAAGAACAAGAAGTATTAAAAAATAGAAGAAAACCCAGACGGGTGTGTATATACGTCATTATCATATTATTATTATAATCACAACTAAGCACTAAACCCACAAGGATCATACAAAGCTGCATTATTATCATGCTGTTGCTATAATTGAGCATTTTACATATTCGGGTCTAATGACGTGTAATTTTTGAGATTAAGTGAGCAAGTTGCATTTGATATCTTCTTGTGACCAGTTGATAAGGTGATAAATCCGGCTGTACTGTTGCTAGCGGAGTGTTATGGATCAGTCGGGTTTTTTGCCCGAATTCCGAATGAAATATCGGGATAGTTTTAGTGTAGATAAAAATTTCGGCAGTGCTTGCGACATGAAATCGATGCGGCTTATCTTATTTCGACCGGAGAAGAGGCCGACGAGCGCTTACAGATTCTTCTTCGTCCTGTTACAGAATGAACAATAGTTAACAAGATTGTCGTTATGTTGACGTCCATTAAATAGTGAATCCGAGTTAATTTCTTTGATCTCTAAATCTAGTATTTAAAACAGAGGGAGGGAACTGTCTCCCTCTTCTAGGGTGAATAGATGAAGAGTTCTCTTATTATTATTATTATTATTATTATTATTATTATTATTATTATTATTATTATTATTATTATTATTATTATTACTATTGTTATTATTATTATTATTATTATTATTATTATTATTATTATTATTGTTGTTGTTGTTGTTGTTGTTATTGTTGTCGTTGCTTATATTCCTGTGGACGAACTAAAGCAGCAATACTGTAGTCAAAATAAAATAAAAAATCTAGTTGTTGTACTGGTATATAAAGTACACAGTATCACTCCCAAGTGCCTTACATTAATCTTAAACTCTATTGACAGGTTTGAGTTTTGCTTTTTACTCTGTTCTAGATTTTTTTTCCCCCCGTTATTCCACGGTTCGCATTGAACATCAAACTGTTTTTCGTGGCTTATTGGAAGACTTGGTTTATATCAGTGTGTCGTCAATGGTGTCAGTCTTATATAAATTCATCATGGTCTACGAAGGGTGATACAGTGCTACGTGTCACTGTCTGTGTTGTAAGAACCAGAACTGGAGCCAAATGAACTGGGGTCCT